TTTTATATTATAAGCACTCTTAGAATAACGATATTAACACTACCACCAATATGATCACTGAAAACATTTAAAAAGTATTTTGCTAAGGCACTTCTCATTCTCCACCTCATTAAAATTTTTTTATAGTAAATCTACATTGTCGGGGCACATATTACATCACTATATACTATACTTGCTCCCTCTTAGCCTTACATAGTTTTAGTTCTACAAGTAACCTTGTATAATATTTCATACTCACCTCTAGTCCTTCAGTCATTCTACTTATTTTGGTTGGCGGAAGCTCATGCTCTCCTGGATTCCTAAGAAAGGGGCTTGGGAACAGTATTCCCTGAGATCTTGCATGTTGGTAAGTTTGTGCCCTTTTTACTTACATTGTCTGTGTTTCTAGTTTCACACTTTCCTTTTTTTTTTTTGAGACAGAGTCTCGCTTTGTTGCCCGGGCTAGAGTGAGTGCCATGGCGTCAGCCTAGCTCACAGCAACCTCAAACTCCTGGGCTCAAGCGATCCTCCTGCCTCAGCCTCCCGAGTAGCTGGGACTACAGGCATGCACCACCATGCCCGGCTAATTTTTTTTAGTTGTCCAGATCATTTCTTTCTATTTTTTTTTAGAAGAGACGGGGGGTCTCGCTCTTGCTCAGACTGGTCTCGAACTCCTGACCTTGAGTGATCCACGCTCCTCAGCCTCCCACAGTGCTAGGATTACAGGCGTGAGCTACTGCGCCTGGCCAAGAACCAACTTTTGAGTTAGGCATCGTGGCATGTGCTTGTAGTTCCAGCTACTCAGGAGGCTGAGATGAGAGGATTGCTTGAACCCATGAATTGGAGTCCAGCCTGCCAACATAGCAAGATTTCATCTCTATTTAAAAATAGAAATAAAAAAGAATCAACTTTCCAGCTCTGTTAATTTTCTCATTGTCTCTTTTCTATTTCACTGAATTTTTATTATTTCATTGAATTTTATTCAATCTTTACTATTTATTATTTCCTCCCTTCTACTTTGAGTTTCATTTGCTCAGCTTTCTCTAGCTTCTTAAGGTGGAAACTTAGATCATTGATTTTAAGCCTCTATTCTCTTATAATATAAGCTATAAATTTCTCTCTAAGCACTGCTTTATCTATATCCCATATATTTTTACTATGTTGAATTTTATTATTGTTCAGTTTAAAATGTCTTAGAATTTCCTTTGGTATTTCTTCTTTGTTCCATGGGTTAATTAGAAGTATATTGTTCAACTACCAAATATTTGGGGATTTCTAGAGAACTTATTGATTTCTCATTTAATTTCAGAGAATATATTCTTTTTAATTTGTGTTTATTTTTGATTTTGACATAGAACTATGGTTCAAAATTTTTCAGAGAATATATTCTTAAGCTGTTAATGTTTTAAAATTTACTGAGACTTGTTTTATGGCCTAGAATATGGCCTACCTGGATGAATGGTCTGTATCACCTTGATATCCAGTTTTAATGAAATTCCTATCAAAATCCTAGAGAGACTTTTTTGTAAATATAAACAAGATTATTCTCAAATTTATATGTAAGGGCGAAAAAACTAGAATAGCTAAAATAACTTTCAAAAAGAACAATAAGGCTGGGTGCACAGGCTTGTGCCTGTAATCCTAGCATTCTGGGAGGCAAGAGGATAACCTGAGTTCAGGAGTTTGAATTCAGCCTGAACAACAGCAAGACCCCATCTTTACAAAAAATAGAAAAATTAGCCAGGTGTGGTGGCACACACCTATAGTCTCAGCTACTTGGGAGACTAAGGAAGGAGAATCATTTGAGCCCAAGAATTTGAGGTTGCAGTGAGCTATGATGATGCCACTGCACTCTAGCTGGGGTGACAGAGTATGACTTTGTCTCAAAAAACAGAAAAAGAAAATGAAAGGAATCAGTCTACCCAATTTCAAGACATTATATACCAACAGTAATCAAGCGGTATCAGTGGAATATTAGACACAAAGATCAATGGAACAGAATAGAGATCCTACCTAGAAATATAACCACACAAATATGCCCAGTTGATTTCTGACAAGGGTGCAAAAGCAAGTCAATGGAGGAAAGATAGCCTTTCCAACAAACAGGGCTGGCGGGAATGCAAAATATATATATATATATATATATATATATATATAGCTACTCTGGGAAACAATTTGATTTCTTAAAATATAACATGTAACTACCATAGAACCCAGCAATTGCACTGCTGGCATTCATCCTAGAGAAATGAAGATTTATGTTCCCATAAAAATCTTCACATGGATATTCATAGCAGTTTTATTCATAATAGGCAACACCGCAAACAACCTAGATGTCCTTCAACAGGTGAATGGTTAAATAAACTGAGGTACATCTATACCACAGAATATTACTCAGCAATACAAAGGGACGTAATGATACACAATAATCTAGATGAACGTCTGGGGAATTATGCTGAGTGAAAAAAGCCAACTTAAAAAAGTTATATACTATATGATTCCATTTATATAACTCTTTTTTTTTTTCTTTTTTGAGACAAGGTGTCTTCCTCTGTCATCCAAGCTGGCGTATAGTGGCACAATCATAGCTCATTGTACCTTGAACTCCTGGGTTCCTCAAATTCCTCCAGAGATCCTCCTGCCTCAGCCTCCCTATTAGGTGGGACTATCGGCTAATGTCACTACACCTGGCTAATTTTAAAATTTTTTAGTAGAGACAGAGTCTGGCTATGTTGCTCAGGCTTGTTTCAGATGCCTGGCCTCAAGTGATCCTCCCACCTTGGCCTCCTAAAGCACTGGTATTACAGGTATGAGCCATCATGCTCAGCCCTATGTAACATTATTATTATTCTTATTAGAAACAGGGTCTTGCTCTGTTGCCAGGGCTGCAGTGCAGCGGCATCATCACAGCTCACTGCAACCTCAAACTCCTGGGCTCAAGTGATCCTCCTGCTTTTGGCCACCCAAAGAGCTAAGATTACAGGCCTGAGCCACTGCACCCAGCCAACATTCTTAAAATGACAAAACTATGGAAATGGAAAAAAGATTGATTGCTAAGGGATAAAGAAGCTGTAGAGGTGGCTTAGCTATAACAGGGTAACATGAGGAATCCTTGTGGTGATGGAAATGTTTGCCTCTTGACTGTATTATTGTCATTACCCTGGTAGTAATATTGCACTATAGTTTTGCAAGATGTACCTAGGTAAAGGATACATAGGATCTCTCTGTATTATTTCTTACAACTGCATATGAATTAAAATATTTAGAGAGTAAGTAAAAAATTATTTTCCTCCACCCACCAAATAATAGCTATCATCAAAGGCAGATTTACTATGAAGCTAAGGGTAAGCGTCAGAGGTCACCTGCACAGGCCCTGGGAGTGCTGGAAGTTACTGGGGATGGGGATTTGTAATCAGTGTTCTAACTGGAGAGAAGCAAGATTGCAATGGGAAACATTTCTATAAAGCATTCCTGATAAACTGCCTAAAAAGGTTTTAGAAGAAAAGACTTAAAACTCCAAAAATCCATAATTGAGTGTGTTGTGGTTTTTTTTCTCATCCTAAATAAATATCTATATATGTACCTAATTTTAGAGGGTCTCAACAAGTACTTACAAAAGCTTCAGGCTCCACAAAACCCCAGGCTTTACCCCTCCCTATCCTTGGTGGATAAGAACAAGGACTTTGAAGCCTGATTTTGCCTAAATTCAAATCCTGGCTATACTCAGTAGGTATGTAACCTGTGACAAGTTCCTAGCCTCTCTGAGCCTGTTTCCTCACTTATAACATGGGGACAATAATAAACCTACTTCACAGTTGTGGACATTAAATGAATTATTATATCTAAGAAGCTTATGCCTGGTGGTAAATGCTATGTGTATACCCTTATCATTATTAGTGAGACCTAGGTTGTGTATGGCACTGTGTCTAATACACATTAATTTACTTAATTCTCAGAATAACCCTGTGGGGGAGGTACTAGTATAATGTCATTTTAGATACGAAGAAACTGAAATTTTGAGATACTGGGTGATTAAAAACCACGCTTCCACCAACGGCATTTGGCCTAGGAAAAGAGGGCAGCTTCTTTCAAGACAACTCAGACCGTGAAAGTCACGTACTCTCAGGGATCCCACTGCCCGAGCCCACTACGTGGCAGTCAGGGTCGAATGCCTCTCCCCACCCTCCGGGTGAGTGAGGCCTCACTTGAACCTGAGACCTTCCGCTCCAGGTCCAGCACCACGGAAGGTGCGATTCGCTCTGAAGCCCGACCAAACTCGCCGAAATGTGCTGCCTTTCATAATTCTCAGCCGTCTACAAATGGGGGCCGGTGGTAACTCCTCCGCGGTGCAGTCCAGTGCAAATCGTCCCTTCAGTTTCTGCTGGGCTAGCTCACAGGCCTGGAACAAAGGCCCAGGGACCAGAACAGAACTCCAACCCGCAGGCACTAATTCTGCTCCACCCGGCTCGGCCCTCCCAGCACGGTTCTGCAGGCCTCGCCCTTCCACGAAAGTCGCATCTCCTAGAAAGTCGGTTCGTTTCTCCAGCGCTAGAGCCCGGACCCCTCATTGGGCTCAGCACTAGGCCCTCCCCTTCCGGGGTCTCGAGCGCCGAACTCATCGAACGTAGCCAATGGGTGATGGAGGGGCAACGCGGCGGGAGGTTCGATTGACCCGGCCTGGCGGGTCGGGGAGAGTCTTGGCGGCTGTTAACGCGCGCTTTGGAACCGGGAGGGTAAAGGGGGTGCCGCTTGGGCCCGAATCCATTTCTGCCGCTCTTTTCAGCCCTTCTTGGGATTCTCCTCTCAACTTGGGTCTTTTACTGGGCCCGCCTGGATCCCTGCTCGACCTCCCTGAGTCGGGGCTTGGCATCTACATCCAGCGCTGGGAAATCCCCCTTCTCCAGACTAGAGCTTGCCAGGCCTCGGACTTTAACCCCAATTTCTCTCTCCTAGCCTTTGATTTTCCCCGCGAAACTACCTTCTTCACTCCAGCTGGGACCATTTTCCGAACTCCACTCTGCCGTCTAGGCTAACTGGCGACCTACACTCTCACTGTTTGGGTCCAAACCCCAGACCCTGGCTGGATCCCCTCCATCCCCATCCTCTTTAATTAGCCCATCCTCTCAATAATATAGTAACCCCTTCTATATCAGACTCTGGTCCTGCATTCTTAGCTACTACTTGCCTTTGATCTTCGGCTGATGGGTACTTGACGTTTTATGCTCCTGGGCCCAGGATGGTAAGTGTGAACTTAGGGGAGACTAGGAGTAACCCTGCGTCTGGGTCTAATGAGCACAGGCCGAAGAATCTCCGCAGCTGCTTAGTTCTCATTCTCCCCTTAACAGAGGCGGAGCTTAGCTCCCAGCCAGCTGGCCAAGAGAAAACCGGAAGGCAGATCCTCTGATGATGAAGACTGGCAGCCTGGGGCAGTTGTGAGTAATCAGGGGGATAGGGAAGGTGGGAATGAGGGGCTGTTTGGGCAGAAAGGAAACCTGGACTTGATTTCTTGGGTTACATAGCCACCTCCAGATGGCTCTTTCATATGTTCGGTAAACTTACTATGTGCCAACTATTGAACAAAATTAATAAAATCTTTGTGCTCAAGGTAATCAATAGAAGCTAACATAGCCTCAATTTTCCTGGTGGAAAAGAGTATTCTAAAGCAAAAGAGCAAGTGGGGTTTGCCCTTTGACTCCTTTGGGGAAAAAAAGGGCTGCACAACAGTAACTAGCAGCCTGCTCTTTTTTTTTATTTTTTATTTTATTTATTTTTTCTTGAGACAGAGTCTCACTATGTTGCCCCGGCTAGAGTGCCGTGGCGTCAGCCTAGCTCACAGCAACCTCAAACTCCTGGGCTCAAGCGATCCTACTGCCTCAGCCTCCCGAGTAGCTGGGACTACAGGCATGCGCCACCATGCCCGGCTAATTTTTTCTATGTATTTTTAGTTGTCTGATTAATTTCTTTCTATTTTTAGTAGAGACGGGGTCTCGCTCTTGCTCAGGCTGGTCTCGAACTCCTGGGCTCAAACAATCCGCCCACCTCGGCCTCCCAGAGTGCTAGGATTACAGGCGTGAGCCACCACGCCCGGCCCAGCCTGCTCTTTTGTTCTTTGTCCCCTGCCCAGTGTCACAGAACAGTAGAGTGTTCTGGGCCTGCCTTAGAGTCCTGAGCTCACTTGGGCCTAAATGTGAGGGGTGGTCCCTTTCAGTCCTTGCTGATACTCAAGTACTGTGTGTTCTACTTTGAACTGGGCTCTGTGCTCTGCTTCCTGTCTTGGAGGCTTTTGGGGGCTGGCTGTGGGCAAGAGCGACGTAAACCAAAATAAATGGGACAATGCAGCGTGTACATCAGCGAGAGAAAGCAGTTCAAGAAGCAGGGACAGCCAGGCATGCTGGCTCATGCCTGTAATTCCAGCACTTTGGGAGGCCAAGACGGGAGGACGACTTGATGCCAGGAGTTCGAGACCAGCCTGGGCAACATAGCCAGACTCCTGTCTTTATAAAAAATTAAAGAAACATTATCCAGGCATGGTGATGCATGCATGTAGTCCCAGCTACTTGGGAGGTTGAGGCAAGTGGGTCCCTTGAGCCCAGGAGTTCAAGGCTGCAGTGAGCGGTGATAGTGCCATTACACTCTAGCTGGATGACAAAGCGAGACCCTGTCTCTAAAAAAAAAAAAAGAAAAAAAAAGAAGCAAGGGCTTGGCCACTAGAGCTTTGAGGGAAGAGATCGGTTAAGAAAGGACTAAAAGGCACTTTTTTTGGCAGAGGCAGCGAGTAAAGGCATGTAGGGGAAAAGGGAACTGGCGTTTGTTTCAGGTGTGCCTTATAGGCTCGTAGGCACTTCAGATAACCTGGCAAGCCGGTACAAGTGGGCTCTTGCCTGATGGCTTGGTGGGGCTTGCTCATTAGTTGTACCACTGGTGTGCGGGGGGCTCCTCTACCTGTGAGGGATGCACATTGGCTGCCCCTTACCACTTACATCGGTCTCAGACTTGAACTTGGGGCAGCATTCTCTGCAGCTGGGTTGTGCATGGTGCTGTCAGTTTCTGGTTGCCCCTGAAAATGCTTTCAGTGCCAGTGACCTCACTACCATGAAGTAGAATGAGTGGGGAGTGGCCTCAATGGCTTGGGATTTGAGGACAGCTGTACTCTTGTCCCTTTTGGGAAAATAGGGAGGGAAGCATTTGGTTGCTCAGTTATTCATTGGAGCTTTTGGAGTGAAGATTTGGGGCTGGCTGGGTGCGGTGGCTCATGCCCGTAATCCCAGAGCTTTGGGAGGCTGAGGTGGAAGGATTGCTTGAGACCAGCTTGAGCAACATAGTGAGACTCTTTCTCTACCAAAAAAAAAAAAAATTGAGCCACATCTGTAGTCCTAAGCTATTCAGGAGGCTAAGGCTAGAGGATCCCTTGAGCCCAAGAGTTTGAGGTTGCAGTGAGCTGATTGTGCCACTGCACTCTAGCCTGGGCCACAGGGTGAAAACCTGTCTCTGTAGCAAAAAAAAAAAAAAAAAAAAAAACAACCTTGGGGCCGCTGTGCTTCCATGCTGCAGGTGGATTTGATCTTCACAGACCCACTTCATTTACCTCTTCTGTTGTCCCCCTCAGATTAAGCTCCAGTTTTCTCACCTATTAAATAAGGATAATAATAAACCTATGTCATAGAGTTGCTATGAAGATGATACATGATAACACATATGAAGAATTTAGCACAGAGCTTGGCACTTAATAAGCGTTTTAAATGGTAATTTCCATTACTCTGTGGTCTCTGGACTTCAGCTTTCCCAATTCTCTCTCTTAGACTCCTAAGAAACGGAAATCCAGCAGTGAGACTCAGATCCAGGAGTGTTTCCTGTCTCCTTTTCGGAAACCTTTGAGTCAGTTAACCAATCGACCACCCTGTCTGGACAGCAGTCAACATGTAAGTCGGAACTGCAACCTGCCTGTGTATGTGTGTGCCTAGTCGTCTTGCGTAGGTAGATTCCTGCCCCTGTAGACTCCCTCAGTGCCCTACAGAGTGGCCAGCAGATAGGCATTTGTGGGGCTTTGGACCTGCTGACAGTTGCCATGGTCTGCTCAGAGATGTGTGCCTGACTTATGTCTTGTTTATAGCTACAGGGGCACCAGATATCAGATGGCTCAGATTCCTAAAGAAAGGGGAGAAGAGAGGGAAGGCCATGGTGGGATGTTGGAAGCAGCTCAGTCTCTGACTCTGTGTATGGTTTTAAGGAGTACCAGAGTCCTGTGGCTTCCATGTGTTTTCTCTAGTAAAGTAAAACTTAATTGTTACTATGGCAGATTCCATGCACTATCTCACTTAATTGTCATTTTTTAGATGAGAGAACTGAGTCTCAGGGGTTAAGTAATTTGCCAAAAGTTACAGAGTAGTCAGTGCGTGGAGTAGCTCTGCCTAGTTCCAAAGCTTTTTCCCTCAAGCTTTCTGAGGAAAGTTTTTTTTTTTTTTTTTTTGAGACAGAGTCTTGCTCTGTTGCCTGGGCTAGAGTGCTGAGGTAAGCTTTTGAAGAAAAAATGGGACTATGTAATGGTGGTTAGTCATTTGTACATTCAGCAAACATTTAAAAACAGTTTTGTATACTATTTGATAAATACGAAAGAATATATATATAACACCTAATTTTTAAAACACAAAAACCACCTGCAAACCCACCATCCCAGACACTAGAACATTGTCAATGCCACATAACACCTTTTCCCATCTCTACAGGTATGGCTATCCTGAATTGTGTTCATCGTCCCTTGCTTTTTTTTAAGAAAGAGTCTTGCTCCGTTGCCCAGACTAGAGTGCAATGACATCATGAGTGGCATCATCGTAGCTCACTGCACCCTCCAACTCCTGGGCCCAAACAATCCTCCTGCCTTGGCCTCCCAAAGTGCTAGGTTTATAGGCAGGAGCTGCTGCACTCAGCCTATCCGTTGCTTTTTTATGATAGTTTTATCATATGTGTATAATTCACTAAGTAACACGTTGTTTAAATTTTTTTTTTTTTTTTTTTTTTTTTTTTTAAGCTTTAAGAGGGCATGTAGCCCTCTCGGACTTTTTCATTCAGGATTTGTTCAAGTTGTCCTTTGTAACTATATGGCGTAAGTGCAGTTGGGGTGGGAGTACACAGCAGGGGGTCTAACAGTCTGGAGGCTGGGGAAGACCTACATTCGAGGGACATGATGATTAAGTCCTGAAGGATATGAGGGGTTAGCCAGGTGAAAGGAATGGGAAATATTCCAGATAGAGGGAACAGCCTGTTTGAAAGCCTGGCAGGAAGAAAATGAGGTGGGTCCTGAAAAGGGTTTCATATGGCTGGATCAGTTGGGAGTTGGTGGTGAGAGATGAGAGTTGGAGTGCTGTGTAGAGACTGGGGTGGAAGGCCTTTTGTAATCCATGCTATGACAGACTGGACTTTTAAGGACACTGAAGAGCTTTTGAAGTGTTTTAGGTAGGGATGGGATGAAAATCCATAGGAGGGGGAGAGACTGGAGCTAGGGGAAAAAAAGACTTACGAGTGGAAAAACTTTGGTTTGATTACATGTGGGGAGAGGGAAAATGGAGGATGAAGTTGAGATTTCAGACTGGGCAAGGTAGATGGCTGTGCCACGTACTGAGATAGGGAGCACAGAGAAGGAATAGCATCTGGTGGGAGTGATATGGCGAGCACTGTGGTCAGGGGGCCCATGATACTTTTAGGGGCCCATAAAATTTAAAAAATTTTTTAAGAGACAGGGTCTTGCAGTATTTCCCAGGCTGGTCTTGAACTCCTGGCCTCAAGTGATCCTCCCACCTTGGCCTCCCAAAGTGCTGGGATTATAGGTGTGAGCCACCGTGTCCACAAAATGTTTTAATGCCTTTTTTAAAAATAGTTTGATGTGCTGTGTTTTAATAGCAAACTTCCATGAACAGAAGACAGATAATATTAAAAACATGTACTTGCATGTGGGGCAACTGAGAAAAGTATAGTGAATGGATGGAATCTACTGTATGATAAAAATGCTACAAGCCCTTTTTAGTTGCTGTCAGTAAGAAATTTACTTGTTTTTTTAAAATGTCCATTATGCAGAAAAATTTAACAGGTTTATTTATAATTGTTATAGAATTGAACTGTTGAAACTTATTCACTGCTTTATGTCCCTGCATTTATATTAAAAATTGACACACAAATGAAAATGGAAAAACTGCGGTACCTGATTTCCATCCCCTACTTTTCACTCACAGCCATACACTTAGATAGCTTTCGATCTCATGGGGAAAAAAATCTAACATTCAGAACTACCAATAGCAGAAAGATATTTTTTTTGTTGTTTGTTTTTTTTGAGAATGAAACATTTCCCATTATAGTGGATTCTGTTACACGTTTGGCATGGCGAGCACACAGGTTGGTGCCTTCAAAAAGGCCAACCAGATAGGCCTCACTTGCCTCCTGCAAAAGCACCAATAGCTGTACTTGGGAAATGCATATCTGTTTTGAAGTCCTAAGCAATTTCTCATACCAGATGCTGGAAGGGAAGTTTGCTTTATTTCTGATAATGTGATCTCAGGGACTGCTATGGTACCAGGCCTACAACGATGAGGTTTCCTCACTCCTCCAGTAGAGGGTGCTCTCTCGCAAGCAGCTTCTTACGCAGGTCATTCCTGGGTAGTTTTCCACTAGTCAATTTGCAGGCAGTCTGCTTTGTACCAGCCATGGTATAGAGACCCCCATACTTACCTCATTTCTCCTTCTGCTGGAGACCAGTGAGCTAGAAGCAGCACTTGAGTTAGAGAGTGATGACAGCCTTTAATTCCTTTTAAAATCAGAAGGAATAAAAGTACATAGTGATGAATCCAACCTGGATTATATTTATCTATACCAACACAGTCATAGAATATAATTTTTTTTATGGAGGAAGAGGCCCAAAAGGCAAAAATGCCTGGGGCCCACAGAAGTAATAGTGCAGCCTTAGAAATGAGGACTTTAACCATACATGATGAGTGTGAAGTGCCTGTAGGTTATTTGGGATTACAAGTAGTTACAGATGTGGGTGTGGAGCCTAGGAGTGAGTACGGACTAGAAATAGATTTGGGGGTCATTAGCATAAAGGTATCTTATACTTCGGAAGTGTATTGGAGCATCTGGGTGAATGTGTAGTCAGTAGAGCTGAGGGCTAACCTCTGAACCCTGTGGAGCACTGACTTTTAAGGGGGTTAGGCAGAGGAAGAAGAGCCCATTAGAGGACTGGGCATGAAATCCCAGAGAAGCAAAACAGTGGGAGAGCGGTGTCATGGAAGTCAAGGCCAGAGAATATTTCACAAGGAGTAGCCAGCTTTGTCAGGTAAGATAAGGATAGACACATGTCCATTGGAATTAGGGTCATGTAGGCCGTTGGTGATCTGGCCACTCATTTCAGAGGACAGGATGGGGCAGAAGACAGATAGGAGGAGTGGGAGGTAGAGAAGGGGAGACAGACAACTCTTTCTAGAAGTTTGCCTGCAGAGGAGAGGTAATAAAGAATCAAAGGAATTTTTGTGTCTAAGGTAGAGAGTTAAGCGTGTTTTATTTTATTTATTTATTTATTTTTTATTTCTGCATATTATGGGGGTACAAATGTTTAGGTTACATTGCCCTTGCCTCCCCCCACCCGCCGCCCCAGTCAGAGCTTCAAGTGTGTCCATCCCCCAGATGGTGCGCATCGCATTCATTGTGTTTAAGCGTGTTTTAAATGCTGGTAAGAAAGAGCTAGTAGAGAGGGATAGGTCGAGATACAGGAGATCAGGCATAACTGGCAGAGTGAATCTCTGTGGAAATGGGAAGCTTTGGCCTTGGTAGGGAGGAGGGATCAGAAGGAAAGGATGGTATGAATTATCAGTAACTAAATGAACAAAGAGTGAAAGCATGTTTTCTCTCCTGCCTCTGCCAGAGTCTGGTGAGTATTATCAGATCAGATTCTTGAAAGCTGGCTGTTCCAAGTCTTGCAGGCTGTGCTGTCAAACGTTTTTGGCCAGGGGTCTTCACATTCTCCCTTGCCAGTTATGCAAGCCTGTGGTTCTCACTGCAGAACCTGTGGCTCCTGGGTTCTATTGAAAGTATTGCTTTTTAAATTGGGAGTATATGGCTGGGCACAGTGGCTCACACCTGTAATCCTAGCACTTTGGGAGGCCGAGGCAGGAGGATTGCTTGAGCCCAGGAGTTCGAGGCCGCAGTGAGCTATGATGATGCCACTGCACTCTAGCCAGGGTGACAGAGCGAGATTCTGTCTCAAAAAGAAAAAAATAATAAAATAGATTTTATTCAGGTATAAAGAAACATGCAAATAAACAAAGGATTTGGCTCTTTACCAACTATGTCATGTTATTTAGTGTGATAATGAAGTTCATTTCTCCACATTCCTTTTCTGTCTTCCAATATATTACAAAAAATATTCATCATGTTTTTCCTATTTAAAGTACATTGAGTTTCTCGGTTGGTCGTGGTGGCTCATGCCTGTAATCCTAGCACTCTGGGAGGCCCAGGCGAGAGGATTGCTTGAGGTTGGCAGTTCGAGACCATCCAAAGCAAGAGCAAGACCCTGTCTCTACAAAAAAATAGAAAAATTAGCTGGGCATGATGGGCTAATTTTAAAAAACAAGTAAGGGTCCTAGAGTCAGGAAAATCCTATATCTGCAATGGCTGTGTGACTTGATAAAGTGACTTAATCACTCTGAACCTCAGTTTGCTCATCTGTAAAATGAGAATGCCAGTAATATACGGACCTCATATGGCTGTTAGGATTAAATGGTATTAATAACATGAATGCAAGAGGCTTACATTGTTAGCCATAATTATTGTCATTTTTGCTGTTGTTATTATTATTATTATTTTACTGACTTTATACCCTAAGGTGCTACACCCCAGAGAAGAGTCAGGTGTCCTCACTGGCATAGTTTTTCATGAGTGACTGGGTTCTGAGCCTCATGGTTGACTGAGGCTAAGCGCTCCTCTTGTCCCTAGTATTTGTAGAATTTTACATACAGCCTGAAAGATGGAAGCTGTTGCATAAAACCTAATGTGGAGCATATGATAACAGTATTGTCCCATCACATCTCCAATCAGTCCTGAATCTGTATTTCTCCTTTCTTTTTAGGAAGCATTTATTCGAAGCATTTTGTCAAAGCCTTTCAAAGTCCCCATTCCAAATTATCAAGGTAAAATAGACTTTAGACTTTTCTATTTTTTGAATCAGTCATGTGTAAATGTGCCTGAATAAATGAAAACCCTCTGCTTTTGTAAATACAAGCTTACCTGAAAATGCAAGATACCAGTCCAGTGGTGGCTGTGGTTGGGCTGACCCTCCTGAGGCCTGCATGAAAGCTGTGTTAGTGTCAGTAAGGGCTGCCAAGACTGACTGCTCCTCATCTTCTTGGTGGGGGTGTGCCGGTGCTCAGGAAGCGCCTGGTGGGCCAAGGTGGCTGATGGACCCAGGGTTCATTCAGTCCAAGTGCATTCAGTAGCATCTCCTTTATGAGGCCGACTGTGTGGGAGGCCTAGATTCTATAAAAGTTTTCCCTATCCTTTGTAGTACACAGCATTGTGCTAAAATGGGCTGGGGAGGGAGGAGGCCAGCTCTCAAGAGCTCTCAGACTTGAAAAGCCCCTTTAAGGTTTCAGACCTTTCCAGGACAGACTTGAGATGAACAAGACCTGGCCCTCTAGAAGTTTGTAGTTGAATGGGAGAACTAAAATGGGAAAACCTCTGATCCGAAGCAGAATGAGATAATGGTCAGGTAGAGGTGCTCTAACAGGGTATGGAGAAGTTCTGGGAGAGAGAGGGTCATATGGGATCTCAGGAAAGGTTATGTGAAGGACAGGTATTTGAGCTGGGCCTGCTGGAGCTTCTGGACATAGAGGCTTGGGTGACAGAATGATTGTTGGTTTGCAGGTCCTCTGGGCTCTCGGGCATTGGGCCTGAAAAGAGCTGGGGTCCGCCGGGCCCTCCATGACCCCCTGGAAGAAGGTGCATTGGTTCTGTATGAGCCTCCCCTGCTGAGTGCCCATGACCAGCTGAAGCTTGACAAGTATGTGCATTGGTATCTCCTGCGCAATTCTGGTCCTCTGTACGTTGTACTTTCCTGGGAGGGCGGAAAATGTTTCAGTGTGATTTCTCTTTGGGATTGGTATATGTTTTCAGAAAGCTGTCATGACTACTGCACCATCCAGTGTAGGAAGTGGGGAAAGGAGAGTACTTGGGGAAGAGCATGTGATCATGACCAGTTAGTGAAGGTTCCTCATCCCTCCTGCCATGCTTACTCAGGAGGAGGCGTGATTGAGGTGATGACACAGGGAACCCATCCCTCTCTCCTAACTTTCTAACTCCTGGAACAAGAATCTGCTATGGTTTTATGGTTTGGTTACCAGGCCAAGAATGTCCTCTTTTAGGCAGCTGCCTCTGTTTCCTCTGGATCAGCAGGACCCAACCTCCCAAGGGCATGCCCTCGCCCATGTCTGAGCACCGTGTTTTTTTTGTTTTGTTTTGTTTTGCTGTGTTTTCTCAGGGAAAAGCTCCCTGTCCATGTGGTTGTTGATCCTATTCTCAGTAAGATTTTGCGGCCTCATCAGAGAGAGGTAAATGAGGGTGAAGGGAATGAGGTGTGGGGCTAGGGGCTGAGCCTGGGAGACTGCCATCCTTTGGGAAGCAACAGTGTAGGTGCCAAAGTGGCTGGACTGAATGCTGTTATTCCCCAGGGAGTGAAGTTCCTGTGGGAATGTGTCACCAGTCGGCGCATCCCTGGCAGCCATGGCTGCATCATGGCTGATGAGATGGGCCTGGGAAAGACGCTACAGTGCATCACGTTGATGTGGACACTTTTGCGCCAGAGTCCAGAGTGCAAGCCAGAAATTGACAAGGCGGTGGTGGTGTCGCCCTCCAGCCTGGTGAAGAACTGGTATAATGAGGTTGGAAAATGGCTTGGAGGGAGAATCCAACCTCTGGCCATTGATGGAGGATCTAAGGACGAGATAGATCGAAAACTGGGTATGGAGCCTCGACAAAGATGGTTGCACTCTTCTACCCAGCCTGCTGCTTGCTTGCTTGTGTGTATGCTCACTTGTGGCTAGGGCTGAGGGGCAATGCAGGGGAAGAAGAGAATTCCCATTGAAAATAGTTGAAATAGTTGGTTATTTCCAGGCTCAATTAAAGAACTGTTGAACTGTTTTGTTTTTGTTTTTTAAAGATATTCTGATTTGTTCTCTTGACATCTTTTCTGTTGTAGAGGGATTCATGAACCAGCATGGAGCCAGAGTGCCTTCTCCCATCCTCATCATTTCCTATGAGACCTTCCGCCTTCATGTTGGAGTCCTCCAGAAAGGAAGTGTTGGTCTAGTCATATGTGATGAGGTACTTGACTCTCAGCAGTCTGGGTGGTAGGAGAAAGTTGGTCGTCTCCTCACTGAGCACTGCCATCCAAGGGCTATAGTAGTCACTGGGGAATCCTGAGGACAGAGGATGCTGCCTTGAAGGAGACAAGTGGGAGGGAGAGCCTATGACACCAGTGTGCCAAAAGAGGGCTTAAACAGTGCTTGAAACTCCAAGGAGAGTGAGGTAGTGAGTGCTGTGGGCTGATAGGTTTTGTTGCCTCCTGATAGTATTCATAGACCAAAGAAGGACTTCGAAGGATGAGAGGGATTTGGGTGGGTGGAGAGACATACGGCACAATGTTTAGGAGAATAAGTTCTAGAGTCAGAGACCTTTATTCATATCCTGGCTCTGCCACTTAACAGTAGAGTGACCTTGGACAAGTTACCTGAGCCTCTGTTTCTACATCAGTAAAATGGGGTGATAATATCTGCCTCATGATTATTATGTGGATTAATTGAAGTGATTGAGGGCAAGCTCTTATCACAGTGACTGGTATGCCATAAGACCTTGGTAAATGTCAGCTCTGGTTTTTATTCTAGGCTGGGGGTACTCGCATGAACAAAAGCAAAGATAAGAAAGCCCAGTGTGGACAGTCCACATGCTTTGTAGTAGTTTGTGTTGACTTCCAGTTCCTTCTCTCTGGGACTATGGGAAATATGGCAGTAATTACTTCCTGACCTTTTTCAGTATGCATTAATTGTGGTAGAGATGCTATTGCTTAGAAAGTTGTGACAATGGCAGCAAGCTTCCTACTACAGAGAATTTTCCAGGACTCCCTTGGGCTTGGCTACCCTGAGGCTACTGCCATCGTTTGTACCTCTTAGGGAGAGTTAAGGTCCTTTGTACACCCCTGGGACTCTAATGGAGAGGTGGCTGAAAGACTTGGCCCTGTCTGTCAACCAACTGGCAGGCTTTAGTGTGCTCTGGGGTCTATATATTAGCTTGTATCTGAGGGACTTCAGGGAGGGGACAGAGGAGGAAAGCTTACTTTTGGGTACCAAGCTTGCTAGTTGTGAACTATGTCCTTGCTGGACTTTTGTCCTTGTGAAGAGTCAGTCATTCTCTGGCATGTCTACAAACTCCTGATACCCTGGTGGGCTGTTCTTCCTGGTGGGAGTAAGGGACTCAGTGGGGTTGAGGTGGGGTATGCGTGTGACTGCTCTGTGATGTGGCCCTGGCCTCTGCTTCACCGTGGAGGGGGACAGCCAGGAGCCTGGTCCAGAGGCCAAGGCGCTGTGGGAGAGAAAGGCAGGCTGTAGCTGCTGAGCTCTTGAGGACTGGAGAGCGTTGAGATTTTTTTCCTACTCCAATGTTCCTTTTCTTTCTCACTCTGTCCTGTTTTATGAGGTGACTCTGTGCCGGGCACATGGGGCTAGGCTGCCTCTTGTTGTATTGCAGCCCCCTGGCCTTCCTTTCTACTTTTTACCTTTTTATTTGTCAACTTTTTGTCAGTTGTCAGAGACCTGAAAAACCCACAGTCCTGCAAGATAGTCATCCTACTCCAGAGGAGAGAGTTTGTCCTGTTCAGACCCTGGAAAGGGCAAGTGCCATCTTGACTTTCATGTTCTGAGCATCCATAGCTGCTTTCTCCCAGCTAACACTTTTCTCTGGAATGCACAGTTCTTCATGATAACTTTTATGTACAAAATCTCAATTGGAAGACATGACATCAACCCTGGCTTTGCCACTTCCACGTGTGATTTTCCACAGATGAGACTGCTCTGAGACTCAGTTTCTTTATCTATAAGTGGATGGCACAGAGTCTACTTGAAAGGGACATAATTCTGATCGAGATGATATATGGAAGCACTTTTTAAAAGTGTATGAATAGGGGAGGGATTGACATCATCATTATCGTCTCGGTTTTAGAGATGAGGAGACTGGAGCTCAGGGAAGTGCAGGGACTTGCCCAGGTTCACTCAGCAAGTACATAATGAGCTGGAACTTGAATACAGGTCTGAAATCTTAAGTCCTGGCCATTTTTCCTGTGCCTTACTGCTTTGGGTGCTTGGTATAAGAAGCAGCTTGGCTCAGGTACAGAAGAGCTGTCCCTGTGGTCCTCATCCAGACCCATGTATGTTCCTGTACAAGTGCTCAAACAGAAAGCAAGCCAGACGAAAGATGCTGAGGATATGCATAAAATACATGAATGCTACTCATAGGTCTCCTGTTACAGAGAGAGGGAAGTCGTGGTATTTGATCTAGGCATGATTTTTTCTTTTTCAAAAGAATAAATTGAGAACTCAGCCAGAAGAAATTCAGCTTATAAATTAGAACTATGACAACTTTTCATCTAGCCAAACATTTGATTTGCTGAGATGCCAGAATTTGTGTTTTAAATCTATAGGCGATGGTGGCAGGAGCTGGGTCTGGAGCCACAGTGACTGGTCCAGTAGGGAGCTGAGGTTGGCCTTCCTTCCCACAGAGGCCCAAGGGTAGCATGGCAGCCTAGTTCATTTGCTGGGTTTTTTATCAAATGCCTGTTATGTGTCAGGCTCTGAGGATCCCACAATGCCTTCCCTTGGGGAGCTTCAGTTTAGAGAGACCTAATTGGTTGTTTGTTTGTTGGTTTGTTTTTTAATTTTTAAAAATTTTTTACTTATTTTTTTTGAGACAGAGTCTCTATTGCCTGGACTAGAGTGCCATGGTGTCAGCCTAGCTCACAGCAACCTTTAACTTCTGGGGTCAAGTGATCCTCCTGCCTCAGCCTCCCAAGTAGCTGGGACTACAGGTGTATACCATTACACCCAGCTAATTTTTTCTATTTTTAGTAGAGACGGCGTCTTGCTCTTACTCAGGCTGGTTTCAACTCTTGACCTCAGGGGATCCTCCTGCCTTGTCCTCCCAGATTGCTGGGATTACAGGTGTGAGACACCACACCTGTCTGGGACCTAATTTTTGATGCCGCATTTCCCCTGGACCCAATGCGTAATTTCCTCACAAGTTTCAAGTCTCATTTCCCCCTTCAGCTCAGAAGTCTAAGCCTTCTGTTTTGTTTTTGTCTTTTTTTTTTTTTGAGACAGAGTCTTGCTCTGTTGCCCAGGCTAGAGTACCATGGCGTCAGCCTAGCTCACTGCAACCTCAAACTCCTGGGCTCAAGCGATCCTTCTGCCTCAGCCTCCTGAGTAGCTGGGACTACAGGCATGCGCCACCATGCCTGGCTAATTTTTTTTATATATATATATATTTTTAGTTGTCCAGATCATTTCTTTCTATTTTTTAGTAGAGACGGGGTCTTGCTCTTGCTCAGGCTGGTCTCGAACTCCTGACCTTGAGCGATCCACCCGCCTCGGCCTCCCAGAGTGCTAGGATTATAGGCGTGAGCCACCGTGCCCAGCCTAAGCCTTCTGTTTTATGGCTAGTGCTTGGAGCCTCTAGTAATTTTTTAAAGATTAAAATTCTGTGTTTATTTAATTCTTTTTAAATTCATTCTTTAATTCTTTCATTCATTCAGCTAACATTCACTGAGCAGTACTCTGTAAACAGCTTTGTCCTGTGCACTAAAATTATAACGGTGAATATGAAATGGCCAGGACTTCTTAAGTCTCTGCCTTAAGAAGTTCATGCCTAGTTGAGAAGATAAAGAACAGCAGAGTGTGATTAGTACTCTAGGATATATAGCAGTGGATGAGAGGCAGAGTAATGTAGTGCCCAGACTTTGGAGTCAGACCTGAGTTCACATCCCATTTCTACTACTTTCTACCAGCATAATTTTGGATAACTGCACCTTTCTGAACTTTGCTTCTTCATCTCTAAAATGGGTATTATAATTTCCACTTGTTTGGATTATAGAAGAGAATATAGGTAAAGTGCTTAGTACTGTGCCTTGCATGTTAAAAGGGTTCACTAAACAGTAGCAGCTATTATGTATACACTGCCATAGTTGCACAGAAGTGAGAGAGACCAACGGCCTGGGGTCATTGAGGAAAGCTTTGCATAGGAGGTGACATTGAAGAATTTGCCTGTGGAAGAGCTCTAGGCAGAGGAGTGGCATGGGCAAAGAGACATAAGGAAATCAGTGGTAGGAGTGGTGAGGAGATAAGGCTTCCTGGACTACAGTAAGCTCAGAGAAGTTCACTGAGGCCTCATTGAGAGGAGCTTTGAATGCTAAGCTAATACACTTAAAGAACTCTGAACTTGATCCTAAAGATGGGAGAGTCAGTGGAGGGTCTGTGTTTGTTTATATATATATGTATGTATGTCAGGGTCTTGCTTGTTGCCCGGGCTAGAGTGCTATGGTGTGATCATAGCTCACTGCAGCCTCAAACTCCTGTGCTCAATTGATCCTCCTGCCTCAGCCTCCTAAGTGGCTGGAACTACAGGCGTACGCCCTGATGCCCAGCTAATTTTTCTATTTTTTTTTTTATAGAGATGGGGTCTCACTATTGCCCAGGCTGGTTTTGAATTCCTGGGCTCAAGTGATCCTCCTAGCTTCCTGAAGTGCTAGGATTATAGGCTTGAGCCACCGTGCCCGAGTCTGTGTTTAATAGCACTGTCAAAGGCTGACCAGAGAGAGCAATGCTTATTTGTTTCTTCATTCTTTAACTGGTGGTTGACTTTAGTATGAGTGTGGGGCTGAATGGGGGCCGGATATAGAAAAGGCACAGGGCTAAGCTTGCCCACGTGGTTCTTGGAGAAAGAGGGAAGGCTGTATGGTCCTTTATCATTTTCTTGAAAAGGTCCTTTATCTTTCTTTCTTGAAAGAATTAACACAGGTATGTACGGGGTGGGGGGTGGGGGACAGGGAGATTAAGGATTGGGGAAGACACATGAAGGGAGGCAGAGGGAGGCTCTTTAGATATACTAGTGGTGTGGATTCTAGTGGGAGATAGAGTGTGGGCCAAGTCCCTTCAGCACTGGTGGTAGGTCACGACAAGACCTGGAGGCTAATATAGAAGGCATCTGGCTCAGAAGGTTCTGGATTGGTTGGGTTGGACGGAGGGCTCCCTGTAACATGGCCATGTGGTCTCTGAAGAGGACAGATGGGCTGCCAAGGCTGTGGAGGTTATGGCAGGGAAAGGGATGAGAGGGAACAGAGGGAATCCTTGCTTTATGGATATAGCACTGGTCTGGAAACTGAAGGTCTATCTTTTGAGCTTAGTATTTCTCCCCAATCAAGAGAGTGAATTCTTTCATGCTGACTCCTACCTAGTTTCCAAGGTCCCAGAACCTGTCATGTTTGTGACTCCTGTTTTCCTATTTACACAAGACTTTGCTACAATGCAGTGATGGCACATTGTACTCTGAGAATTAATTCCCTTGCAGGGACACAGGCTCAAGAACTCTGAGAATCAGACTTATCAGGCCCTGGACAGCTTGAACACCAGCCGGCGGGTGCTCATCTCTGGGACCCCCATCCAGAATGATCTGCTTGAGTATTTCAGCTTGGTACATTTTGTTAATTCAGGCATCCTAGGTAAGAACTTGTCTGCCATATTGGAGAGGAGCCTTGCCTTGTCCTTGGGAGTATAAAGGAGAGAATGCTAGTTATGTGTGGGTCACTAAATACTCTTGAAAGTCGGCTTCTCTTATCTGGGAATAGCAAAGCCACTGGGGAGGTCTTGGCTCTGCTGAGCAACTCAGAAAGGCCCAGTTTGGCCATTTTTCCTTTGCAGAGGTGGCAGGGGCTATACAGAATGTGTCCTGAGCTGGGTTACCCTAAGGCAAATATCTGTTACCCCAAAGTAAATATTTTTGTTCCTCATATCCTGACTCTCTTACAAGAGCTTTGGCCTCAGAGCAGACTGTCTTGGACAGTTTGTTTTTTTTCTTAAACCATTTTAACCTTTTTTTTTTTTTTTTTCTTGAGACAGGGTCTTTCTCTATTGCTTGGGCTAGAGTGCAGTGGTGTCATCATAGCTCACTGCAACCTCAAACTCCTGAGTACAAGTGATCCTCCTGCCTCAGCCTCCCAAGTAGCTGGGACTACAGGTGTGTGCCACCATGCACGGCTAATTTTCCTATTTTTTTGTAGAGATGAGGTTTCACTATTTTGCTCAGGTTGATGTTGAACTCCTGGCCTAAGCAATCCTCCTGCCTCAGCCTCCCAAGTGCTAGGATTATAGGCATGAGCTACTGTGCCCAGTCCATTTTAACCATTTCTAAGTATTTCAGTTCAGTGGTATTAAGTACCTTCACATTGTTGTGCAACCATCACCACCATCCATCCTCAGAATTTTTTTCCTTTTGCAAAACTGAAGCTCTGCCTATTAAGTAATAAATTCCCATTCCTCCCTTCCCACAGCCCCTGGCAACCACCATTTGAGCAGTTCTTGCACACAGATATTTGTGGAAGGGTTTGTTTAGTGCCACTGCAACTTGCCAGTGCTCAGGAGAATCACTTTAGGCAAAGAACCTACCGAGTGGCAAGATTATCACAAAGTGAGCACATTTGCGTACCTACTACCAGATCAGTTACTACCATCCTCTCAGCAGCCCCTCCTCTAATCACTACCCTGTCCTTTCACCCCAGAAGTAAATACTCTTCTGACACTATAGATTGGTTTTGTCTACTTTTGAACTTTATGTAAATGAAGACATACAGTATATATTCCTTTGCATCTGATTTCTTTCATTCAACATCAATTTTAAAATTCATCCATGTCATATGTAACAGTAGTTTGTTCATTTTCATTGTTGTATACTGTTCAATTTTATGAATATACTAGAATTTATCCATTCTATTGAGTAGTTTCCAGTTTTTAATTTTTTCTAATAATGATGCTGTGGACATTTTTGTGCATGTTTTTACATGAGTATAGTATGTATTTCTTTGTCCTAAGAGTGGAAGTGCTGGGTCATATGTTTGTTACGCATGTGCTCTGCTGTAGTAGATATTCCAGTTTTCCAAAATGATTATTTTGCCAGGAGTATATGAGAATTCCAGTGTCTCTACATCAGGGATTAACAAACTTTTTCTTTTTTTTTTTTTGAGACAGAGTCTCACCCTGTTGCCTGGGCTAGAGTGCCGTGGCGTCAGCTAGCTCACAGCAACCTCAAACTCCTGGGCTCAAGCAATCCTTCTTGAGGATCACCATGCCCGGCCATTTTTTTTTTCTATATATTTTTAGTTGTCCAGCTGATTTCTTTCTATTTTTAGTAGAGATGGGATCTCACTCTTACTCAGGCTGGTCTTGAACTCCTGACCTTGGGTGTGAGCCACTGTGCCCGGCCTGTCTTTTGGGTTTTTAAAAAATTTTAGTCATTCTAAAATGGGTGGGTGTTTAGTGCTATCTCATTGCATTTATCTAATGATGTATAAAGTCAAACATCTTTTATTACATTCATTGGCCATTGGAGATCCTCTTTCATGAAGTACCTGACTTTGTCTTTTGCCTATTTTTAAACATTTTGTTTATCCATCAGTTGATAGATATTTGGGTTGTTTCTACCTTTTGGCTTTTAGGAATAATACTGCTATAAATTCATATTCAAGTTTCTATGTGGACATATGTTTTCATTTCTCTTTAGTATATGTACCTAGGGGTGGAATTGCTGTATCATAAAACTATGTTTAAGCAAAGATGTCCATTATCAGGTTAAGGAAGTTCACTTCTTTTTTTCCTATCCTCCCCAGTAGCTGGGACTATAGAGGTACACGCCACCACACCTGGCTAATTTTTTTTTTTTTCTTAGAGACAGGATCTTGGCTGTGTTGCCCAGGCTGGTTTCAAACTCCTGGCCTCAAGCAGTCCTCCCCCATTGGCCTCCCAGAGTTCTGGGATTACAGGTGTGAGCTGCCACGCCAAGCCAGAAGTTGACTTCTGTTCCTAGTTTTTTGAGTGTTTTTCATGAAAATGTGTTGGAAGAAGCTTTATTGTTTTACCTTTCATATTAAAATTTATAATGTGTAGCTGAGTGCAGTGGTGCATGCATGTAGTCTCAGCTACTCAAGAGGCTGAGGCAGGAGGATTGCTTGAGCCCAGAGTTTGAGGTTGCTGTGAGCTAGGCTCTCTAGCCTAGACAACAGAGCAAGACTCTGTCTCAAAAAAAAAAAATCTATAATCCATCTTAAATTAATCTCTATATATGGCATGAGGTGGGGCTCAAGATTCGTCTTTTTCCTTATGGATGTCTGGTTCACCTAGTACCAATTATTAAAAAGACTTTTTTCCCCTTACTTTGCAGCACTACCTTCATAAATCAAATACCCATATGTATGTTGCTCTATTTGTGGATTCTTTTCTGTTCTACTGGTCTGTCTGCTTGTGTCAGTACTTCTCTGCTTTAATTACTGTAGCTTAATATAAGTCTTGATATCCATTAGTGTGAGCCTTTTAACTATATTCTATTCCTTAACATTGTCCTAGATATTCTTGGCCCTCTGTAATTCCCATGTCAATTTTAGAATCACCTAATCAATTTGCACCCCTTTACCCCCCCCCAAAAATCCTAATTGGATTTTAATTGGGCTCTTTGAATCCATAGATCAATGCTGAAAGATATGATATTTTTATAGTATGAAATCTTCCAGTTTATTAATATGACCTGTTCCTCTATTTGTTTAGATCATCTTTAATTTCTCTCAGTGATCTTTTATGGCTTTCTGTAGAGAAGTATTATACATCTTTGGTTAGATTTATTTCTAGGTTTGTAATGTTTTTTTAATGCAATTATATGGTATCTTTCTAAGTTTTTATTATTTATAATTACTTTTTGTTGGTAAATAGAAATTCAGTTGATTTTTGGTACATCGACTGGACCTGGACCAGTAGTCTTTGTATCTGGAAACCGTGCTAATATTTTTTTTCTAATAGTTTCTGTAAATTCTTTTGGATTTTTCTACATATATAATCATGTCATCCACAAATAATGATAATTTATGCCTTCCATTTTAATTCACATGATTTTCATTTCTTTTTTGTCTTATTCACTGGATAGAGCCTTTATCACAGTGCTGAATAGAAGAGGTGACAATGGGTCTCATTGCTGATCTTGGGAAAAGGAAATCTTTCAATATTTAACCATTGAATAAAATGTTAGCTTTTTTTTTCATAGATATTCTTTATCAGATTAAAGACTTTTTCCCCTCTATTTTATTAGTTTCCTAGGTGTTTTTTTCATGAATGGGTATTAAATTTTATCAAATAGTTGCTTTTTCTAAAAGTTGAAGTGAAATTCACATCATGTAACCTTAACTATTTTTAAAGTGTACATTTCAGTGGCATTTAGTATCATCACACTATTGTGCAACCAGCACCCCTGTTTAGTTCCAAAACATTTTCATCATCCCTAAGGAAAACCTTAAACCCACTAAGCAATCGCTCCCTATTTACCCCTACTCCCAAACCTTGGTAACCACGATCTGCTTTCTGTCTTTATGGATTTGCCTATTCTGGATATTTTACATGAATGGAATCATACAGTATGTGACCTTTTGTTTGGCTTCTTCCATTTAGCACAATGTTTTCAAGGTTCATCCACATTGTAGCATATACTTCTGTACTGATGCATGCTACTTAATCTTTTATAAACATATAGTTGGGCTTTTAAAAAAATCTACCCTGACCATCTTTGTCTTTTAATTGGACTATTTAATTAATTTATATTTACCATAATTAATATTTGGGTTTTAATCTACCATCTTTCTATTTGGCCTTTCAAATGTTCACTGCTTTAGTATCTCTTTGATCTGTTAAACAGAAAATTGGCCTATATCTTCAGTTTTATTGTTCTTGGTAGGAAGGTTGGTCTGTGGCAAGGAGGTCTGCCATTACTAGCAGTGGGAAAATTATTCCTTTTCCACATTCTTTAATTTTCCCTTCTGTGTTTAGGGACTGCCCATGAGTTCAAGAAGCACTTTGAGCTGCCAATTTTGAAGGGTCGAGATGCAGCCGCCAGTGAGGCAGACAGGCAGCTAGGAGAGGAGAGACTTCGGGAGCTCACCAGCGTTGTGAATAGGTAATGACCCCAAGGGAGGTCATCAAAATTGCTTCCCAAGCCATTCAAGGCCAATCCTTTGGGGGACTTGACCTGTCTGGAGCCCTTAAAGGCTGGCATTCTAGCAAGTAGGTGGGATCTGGGCCCTGTGGACTGGGTTTGGTCTGTTTACAAACCTGCTGAGGAAGCTCTTTGAAGCTGCTGGACTTCCTGGGCACAATATACCTTGGAGTATCAGTAGTACTTCAGAAGCTTCTTGTCAGTCAGTCTCAGACTTAAAGGACAAGGCTTCTCTCACCAGGCCCCATAGTTCTGTGACAAGTAGCAGATGATCTGAAAGATGGATGTGGCTCCCAGGCTAAGAGGACTTATTTTTTCATGGGAGTTGCATAACCCAGCGGGCAGGTACATATATACATTCTGGACTACTCTTTCCAGAGGAGGTATGCATACTTGATGGGTTATATCCTAAAAGTCCTCCTGCCCTTCCCAACTTCCTGGCTACTTCTCTCTACCAATTTTAGTTGATGGGAAGGAGAGTCAGTGTTTTTAAGAGGTACTTCTTAAGTGCTTGATCTTTATCCTTCCTGGTCTGCCCAGGAGATGTGGGCTTAATTTTATTGAGCCTAGGGCCATGTGGCAGCAGGCATTTGGGCAAATGCAAGCAGAAACTCCCCTAAGAGCTTAGTGGTTTGTAGTTTGCTTTTCCTGTCAGAGCTCCAGGCTCGATGGGAGACCTCAGCTTTGTCTTCAAAATCAGCCAGCCAGTTGAAGGGAAAGAGAAAGAGTTGTTAGTCTACTTTAGGCTGTTTCAGAGGTCTCTGTTCCCATGACTGAGACCCTGATACAGATATCTTTGCCATAGGGCTGATGGATCTCTGACAGTTGATACTACAAAAGAGAGCCAGTCTTGGTCCTTTGGCTGGTAGCTTTTTTTTTTTTTTTTTTTTTAAGGGTGGTGGCTTTTATTCTAGTAGTTAGCACAATAGTTTTACCAGGCTCTTGCCTTTTTATCTTGTTTTCCCTAGGTGCCTAATACGGAGGACATCTGATATCCTTTCTAAATACCTGCCTGTGAAGATTGAGCAGGTGGTTTGTTGTAGGTACTGAACTCAACTGAAGGGTATGGAATTAATGGATCAAAGCTTAGCTTCTGAAGTATGGCTGGGCTTTCAAGATGTCCTCAGAGGGCAGAAGTGTGGTTCAGCTTTTCCCACTGACCTGGGTGCCTTTTTTCAGGCTAACACCCCTTCAGACTGAGTTATACAAGAGATTTCTGAGACAGGCCAAGCCAGCAGAAGAATTGCTTGAGGGCAAGATGAGTGTGTCTTCCCTTTCTTCCATTACCTCGCTAAAGAAGCTTTGTAATCGTGAGTTGGGCTCGTGTCCTTGTGTCCTTTGTGAGAGTGAGTGACGGAGGGTAGGCTCTTGTAGTGGCCCAGCAACCTTCACTAAAACTTGTCCAGAGCCCTCACAAAGGCCACACGTGATTCCAACCCTACCCAAGGCATGAACTCTGCATTGTAGACTCTTTAAACTAGACCCTTTGCTTTGGAAAATTTAGCATATCCTCTGTCCAGTCCATGCTTGATGCTTGAGATGTAGAGGACTGTGTGTGTGTGAGTGCCTGCACATGCACATGCTCAGTAGCATGGTAGACGGGAGGAAAAATAATGAAGAAACCTTGCCTTCTCTGTTATAACTCCCTTCTTGTTAAGAGAACACACCTGTGAACAAGATTATCCATCCATGGTCCCAGATGGCACTGACCACACCCTGAATTTGGGAGGGTGAAGACCAAGCAAGTGTGGTGCTGAGGAAGGCCTTCTGGGCTAGGCTTTTCGGGAGAGTTCTAGTGAGCATTGAAATGGAAACTTCAGAAAGCAAAGTAGCTGGCATTTTTTTTCCAGATCCAGCTCTAATCTATGACAAGTGTGTGGAAGAGGAGGCTGGCTTCGAGGGTACCTTGGACATCTTCCCCCCTGGTTACAGCTCTAAGGCTCTACAGCCCCAGCTGTCGGGTGAGCCCTTTCCCACCTGCATTTGGGCTCCTCAGGAGTGGGAATAGGGTGTCTCTTGGTGCTAGAGCTGTCCTGTTTCAAGGCAGGATATCAAAAGTAAGAATCTTAGGCCATTGGGATGGCCAGTTGGGGACTAATGGTTGCTACTCTTCCCAGGTAAGATGCTGGTCCTTGATTATATTCTGGCGGTGACCCGAAGCCGCAGCAGTGACAAAGTTGTGCTGGTGTCCAATTACACCCAGACATTGGATCTCTTTGAGAAGCTCTGCCGGGCCCGAAGGTAGAGAAGAGCCTAATGAGATTGCCAAATGGGTGTGCCTCCCCTACTGCCCCTCTAGTAAGATTATGGGTTCTGATTGGTGGATGTGGGCTAAGATACGGGTACATGAAGGATTTCCCTGGAGATGTCTGTTCTCTTATTGGTGATAGGGCCCTAGCTCCATCTCTAAGCAGAATATCCCCTAGTCCCTCATACACTCCCATAGAACAGAGTCCTGGCCCCTAGGTCTGTCCTTGTCCCTCCCTGTGGGAGTTTAGGACCTCAGGCGTGGTTAGTTCAGTTCCCTTCAGTAGCTCTGACTCCCAGGGATTCTGCTTTCTTCTTGGGTCTTAATCTTGGATCCCCCTTCAGGTACTTATATGTCCGGCTGGATGGCACGATGTCCATTAAGAAGCGAGCCAAGGTTGTAGAACGCTTCAATAGTCCATCGGTAAATACACAACCCTTGTCCCCACACCACCAATGCATTAACATCAGAATTAAGGGGCTCCCTGATTTTTTTTTTTTTTCCTGGTGGTTGTGCTAGGGTTAGGCTGGTTGGTGATGGCTGGGCTAGAGACTGACTTTGTAGGTTGGGAAATTGGCTGGTGGGCAGACAAACTGGTGATCTTCATAATTGGTCTGAGTATAAGAATACAGAGGGGTGAGAGAGGAGTTGACTGGGCTGAGTAGGATCCCAGTTTAGGCTGTACGAGGTTCTTTTTCTTCTACTTCCTCTCTTCTCAGAGCCCTGACTTCGTCTTCATGCTGAGCAGCAAAGCTGGAGGCTGTGGCCTCAATCTCATTGGGGCTAACCGGCTAGTCATGTTTGACCCTGACTGGAACCCAGCCAATGATGAACAAGCCATGGCCCGGGTCTGGCGTGATGGTCAAAAGAAAACCTGCTATATCTACCGCCTGCTGTCTGTAAGGATGGTGATAGTAGACACAGTAGGGGTGGGTAATGGAACAAGACCTTTAGGACCATCTTGAATCGTTTCTCAGTGCCTCTGTTTGGCCCCTCTGCCTCTAGCAGTAGCCAGGCTGTGGGGCTAGCCTGAGAGCCCTCTCTTCTGTTCTCCCTCCCCTTCTCTCTGTTCCTTCAAACACGTCTTACTATGCTATCTGGACACTTTTTCAGTACATCCTTTTCACAGGACACCTGCTTTCACCTATACCCGATTTCTCCTGTGCCACTTGCCTCGTAGTCTTCTCACACCCTGTGTCCCACTGGCATTCTCTGAGTTCTCAATTACCACTTTCAGACTATCCATCCCATAGTTCCTTTGCAGCTCACATTGTCTGACTTGGTTACTCTCTTTCCTTCCTCGATGCAGTCATTTGTCCTCTGCTGTGTTCCTAATTCATTGAAGGCTCTGGACACCAGCTTGGCCATCATTTCTTTCCCAAATCCAGCAGTCATCCTGACTAATGTCAAGGACCATGCAGTTACCCAGCACACTGGCCTTCATGTTTCCTTGACCTCATCTCTAATGACCTCGCTCCCCTTCATTTAATTACTCCTAAGGTCATACTATGGAACTTGTTAGTACCCAAAACTTTAATAAGTCATTCTACTCTCACTTATCCTTCCAGCTTTCTCTGTTTCAACCTAATGTCCCCAGAACCTGTCCCCTGCCTGAACCCCACCTCCTCTACTGTGGCTGGACTTTTTTTTTTTTTTTTTTTTTTTTAAAAAGACAGGGTCTCGCTCTGTCTCCCAGGTTAGAGTGCAGTGACACGATCATACTCATTGTAACCTCAAACTCCTGGCCTCAAGTGATCCTTCTGCCTTGGCCTCCCAAAGTGCTGGGATTACAGGCATGAACCACTGCAGCCAGCCAATGTATTTATTTATTTGTTTGTTTCAATTTTTTTTTTTTTAGAGACAGGGTCTCACTCTGTTGCCCAGGCTAGAGTGCAGTGGTACAATCATAACCCACTGCAGCCTAGAACTCCTGGGCTTAAGTGATCCTCCCACCTCAGTCTCTTAAGTAGCTTAGACTATAGGCACACATCACTGTGCCTAGCTAACACTCTTAAAAATTTTTTTTGTAGAGGCGGAGGTCTCGCTTTGTTGCCCAGGCTGGCCTTGAACTCCTGGCCTCAAGTGATCCTCCTGCCTCCCAAAGCACTGGGATTATAGGCGTGAGCCACTGTGCTGGCCCTTTGACTTCGTTTTTATCCAGCCCAGTCCTCATCGTGCATCCTTTCAGCTCCTCTTCCCAATACCCATTCTACTTGGATAATTCTAGCTGTTTTCAGCTTCTACACCAGCTAAATTTTGCATTTACAAATTGGTACCACTGCAAATTTATGCTCTCCTTTTTGGGCTGAGCGATACCTCATTTCCTTCAACAACCACTTTAAGCCTTCACCACTTCCCTCAAGTTTCCTACCCAACCCAGTCTCTCTTTCTTTCTGCACAAACTTTGCCTTTTCCTTCACAGAGAAAATGTAGGATACCAGGCATGAATTCTCTCACCTCGCTTCTTCTCTTCTGTAAATCTCTACACCTGATATTCCCTTTCCATCTCAGAGGAACAGGATTCCTTCCACTCTGAGGCTCATCCTTCTAGCTCTGCTTAAACTCCATTCCCATCCAGTGCTTTCTTAGTTAACAAGTACTTCTTTATTTTCCTGAAGTCTGTAATTGTGCTCAGATAGCTCTCACCTTAAAAACAAAGTAATTTTTCAACCCTGTCCTATTCTAACCACTACTTTCGTTATTTCCCATTCATTTACTGTTAAAAGTTTTCCAAAGCCTACAGATTAATTTCTTCAGCTTCTCCTCTTCTACTCAGACCCTTATGTCACTGAACCTGCTTTTGAAATATACTATTGACTTCCTAATTGCCAAAGTAGGAGACTCTCCATTTTCCTTTTTGTATATTTGACACTGTTGACTACTAATCCCTTAAAATTCTCGTTTTTGGAAACTCTTCTCTGATTCTCCACTTATCAGATTACATACAATCATATTGAGAAATCTCTAACTGAATTTTTAACCCAGATCTCTTACTTGAGCTCTAGATCCATATTTCCATTACTGAATCTCGATTTCCACATGGATTTCTTATGTGCTCATAAGTGCATCATGACTGAACTTGTTCTCCTTCTGAATTTTGTCATTTAATGGCTCCTTTATCCACCCAACTCCAATCTGGGAATCATATTATTGGACTATTCTTTGTCTTCTACCAACCAGATTCCTACCAGTTTTCACTGATTTTATCTTTTTGAAATTTCTTTAATATAACCCTCCCCTCCATCCACAGTCCTCTCTCACTTGGATATTACAGCAGCTTCCTAATTCTTTACCTTTTGTCTTATCCCAACCTATTCTTTACATACTGCTTCCAGAATGAGCTTTAAAAAAATTCTGATTTTGCTTTTTATCACTTCCAGGACAAGACCAAACCCTTCAGCATCCAGGGTCTTCCCAATAAGGCCTTTGCTGACTTCCCCAGTGCTAGCTTTTATTACACTCCCACCATCCTATAGTTAGCCTGGGCTCCTCACAGTCCTCCAATAGGCCAGGTGTATTTCTTTGTTTCTATCCTGGGAATGCCTTCCTTTCTCTCCTTTCTTGTAAAATCTATTTTTTTTCAAGATTCTGCTTACGGATAGTCTCTACTTTCGTGCTTTTCAACACTATTCTCTTCTACCATCCCTCATGCTACAGGTTTCTATCATTGTACCAGTTTGTTTGTATGTTTGTCTTTCCTACCAGTCTGTGAGCTCAAGTATAGGGATCATATTTGATTCTTCTTTGTATCCTAATGTTAGCACAGGGCCTGGCAAAGAAAAGATACTCAAATGATGTTTATTGAATGAATGAGAGTTGGGCTTGGTGTAGAGATCTGAAGCTGCTGCAGACTAACCTCAGTTCACCCTGGAGGGATTTAGCCAGGCCCTGAGACTCTTCATTAGTAGAGAAAGTAGTCTGGGTGGGCAGACATGCAGAAGTTATGTTCCCAGGAGACAGACTGGGAAAATGGGGCTCAGCTGAGCAGAGCTACTGCTCCAGGACCCTTAACTTTTCATTCGTCTTCCCTTCTCTTGGGTGGCTGTAGTTTCATCCCCTGGGTTTCCTTATTCCCTCTGCATGGGGATGACTAAGCCCTGCATCCCTCGACACTCCCTGCCGCTCCCCGCTATCCTCCCTCCTCCCTCCCCCAGGCAGGAACCATTGAGGAGAAGATCTTCCAGCGTCAGAGCCACAAGAAGGCACTGAGCAGCTGTGTGGTGGATGAGGAGCAAGATGTAGAGCGGCACTTCTCTCTGGGCGAGCTGAAGGAGCTGTTTATCCTGGATGAGACTAGCCTCAGTGACACACATGATAGGTAGGTGGACTGTCCCTGCCATTATTCCTGAGCTAACTGCACAGCATGGAGATGGGATCTGTAGTGACCACAGCTCTGTCCTCTGCTCCTAGGTTGCACTGCCGCCGTTGTGTCAACAGCCGCCAGGTCTTTCCACCCCCTGATGGTTCTGACTGCACTTCAGACCTGGCTCAGTGGAACCACTGCACTGATAAGCGTGGGCTCCAGGATGAGGTACTCCAGGCTGCCTGGGACGCTACCTCCACTGCCATCACCTTCGTCTTCCACCAGCGTTCTCATGAGGAGCAGCGGGGGCTCCACTGATACCCAGCTGGTCTGGGTGTAGCTGTTAGAGGAAGGAAATAGGGAAAGGGGGCTCCTTACTTCATTCACAAGGCCCTACTGAATTTTGTCCTCTGGGAGAAAATCATCAAAAAGGGCGGCATGATGTTTGCCCAAAATTTATTTTATAAGAAAAACTTTTTTGGTTAAAAAAAAGAAAGGAATAAAGGTATGAAAGGGACTGAGGCCTGGGAGCAGCATGGTAAGCCCAGCAGGGAAGAGGCCTGGTAGTGGGCACTCTTAAACTTCTCTAAAGCCTGGGTACCTGCTTGAGGTGAGAAGGCAGGAACCCCAGGGCAGGGGGAGGGGAGCTGTCTTCAATGATGGTGATGAAAACTGTAATTGCCTGGCCCAGGGTTCCCAGGATACTGAGTAAGGGGCCCAAAGGCTCTAAACTCAGCTGTGGGAATGCCTTTGTTGGGCTCCATCAAGGCCTCCAGGACCTCAGTGCAAGGGAAGAAGGGGAAAAGAGAAAAAGGGTGATAGAGAAGGATAGAACTGGTGGTTGGGGTTTCTGGGCAGCCCATGCCTCAGCCCCTGCAAGCTGATGGTACTGAACATGGGTCTGTGAGGTATGGGCCCCATCACATGGTGCTGACATAATCTGCAAAGGCCTGGGACGAGTCCCACGAATCGCTAACCACATGGCAGGTGGCCCGGAGTCGCCGGATGGCTTCCCTGGCTGTGACTGCATCCTGGTCCAGCCAGTTCTGGAAGAGGCGCAGGTGACCAAAGGCTCCACGGCCCCAGCGCTCCAGCCGCTTGGCGAACTCCAGAAGCCCATCTGGCTTGATACAGTTGGAACTGGTGGGGGTGAGATGGATTAGATATCCAGGAAGCAACTATTTCCTGGTCTGTATCTCTGTAGCCCATCCCTTGCATCCCACCCCTTGCATCCCACCCCCTCCATGTACCTGATGTCCAGCTGACAAAGAGAGGAGGATGAATCCTCTGAGAAAACATCTGCCAGGGCCAACAGGCCAGCATTCCCTAGAGAGAAGGGGAGAAGTGCCTGTCACTTCCACCCAAGAACGGGGAATAAGGGTATCCCAACATAACTATGGCTAGGGAGAAGCCCAGCCCTGCCGGTTCTTGAAGCCCCAGGACATAAATATCTATATTCCAACCTCAGTGTTCCCAGTGGAGAGGTCTGTGCCTTCACCCAGTGAGTTTTTAGGTCAAAGGCTTGGCTCCTTCCCCCACTCCCTCCCCAAGGTCCGGCCCCCACCCAGGCGGTTCCCTGGCAGCCGGAGGCCTTTCAGTGTGGAGTTGCCCTTCATAGCAGCAACCATCTCAGGCAGAAATTGGGCTGGGCGTTTCTCGAACAGACGGCAGAAGGAGAAGGTAATCTCTGTCAAGAGAAATTAGAGCAAATTCTGATGGCTGCATTTAGGACTGGTGCTGCCCCGCTTGTCCCAGTTGACCCAGGCAAGGTGTATTACCATTTTATAGAGGCCCAAAAAGGAAGGAATTTATCTGAGACCTCAAGCAAGGCTTGAACTAAATCAGAATTCAAACCAGGGACTTAGGCTAAGTGTTCGCTGTAAGGAGATTCTCTGCATGGAAAATTCTCCATTCACTTCCTCTTTCCCTCTCTATTCACTGACCACCCTCTGTGCAGGGGTGGGAGATCAGAGACAAGTCTATGAGGGGAGCTTCGCACAGCACATTTTTTCCTCCCCACCACCACCATTTCTGTCAGCCCCTGAAAGGTAAGAAAAATTTTTGGATGAGGTACTCTAAAAGTGAGTAATTTCTCATGCTTAACGGAGGAGCAGTTGAGGTTGGGACTTTTAAAAGGAAGGTCATACAGGTTCTATATCCATCTTAAACTGAGCACACACAAGCAAGAAAGAAACAGTGGTTTGCTCACTCAGCGAGACAGTGCAAGAGCCACAGTGAGGACCCAGGAATGCCCAGGTTCTAGGTGAGGAACTTACCTTGAAGAGTCAGATTCTGTAGCAAAAAGAGCACCTCACTCTGACAGTCAGCCAGATTCATGTCATGGAAACTCAGTCTCTTCAGGGATAGGTTGTACTCTGGATAGGAGGCAGAGACCAGGGGCCATGGGCCTTAGCTGTCCCAGACAACAATACTAGGTCCCCACACACCCTCCTCCCTTCATCGTTCTGGCTGGGTCCTACCTTTGAGTGTCTGCAACACACGCCCAAAATCCTGGGGAGAGGCAAAGGTGGCGCTATCCAGGGACAGCTGCTGCAGAGAACCTGAGGCCTTCAGTACGGAGCAGAGCAGTGGGGCTGGCTGGGCTCCCCGTGGAAATCCCATCTCCAACTGCTCCAGGCAGTTTTCTGGATATGGTGGGGAAAGAAGATTGCAGCTGGCCATCTGTACCTCACTCCTATGGTAGGTCCCATCCTGTCCTTAAGGGATTCACTCAATCATTTATTCATCTACTTGCCTATTATATGTCAGGCACTCTGCTAGGTTCTGGGAACAGAGCACTAAATATGAGATTTGGTCCTTGCCCTCGTGGAGCTTTTAGTGCAGGAAGATTAGATTACTTGGACAGAAGCAAATTTCATAAAGTATGCAGAGTGGTGGGATAGGAGATATACAGGAACTATGGGAACATACAGCAGAGGGGCTTAATCCAGTCTGAAGGTCAGTTCTGTTCTTTCTGTGGAGACTAAACTGTCATGAACACTCTACTGGGCTTATAGTGGTCTAGGCCCTGTCCTGCCAAAGGTTATTTTAAGGCCAGATAAGCCAGGAATGAGTGGTAGCAGACCTGGATTGCAGGTCCTCTCCCCTTCCCCCCACACAAATGCACCTGCACGTTTGTGTGGAGATACACACCCATGTGCACACACAGACAATGCTTCACCTGGTATCTCCTCATCCCCAACTATGTGGCTAGGGGGCCCTGCATTCCCAGGCACAGCAGGGTTGTCCCGCTGGCTTGGGTGGTCGACACGAATAGAAAGGACCCGTAGCAGGGGCAGGGCTCGCACGATGGCACGTGTCAGCTCCAGGATGGGCAGTGGTGAGAACAGGTCACTGAGATGCAGGGCACGGAGGCGGCATCCAGCCTGACCTGACAGGGCCCGCAGGCTGTCCAGTAGGCGGAAGATGTTAGAGCCTAGGCCTACGATAGGAAAGAGACATTAAGTCAGAGTCATGTGGGAGTGTCAGCAGGGGTGATATGTTCACAGAGAACTCCAAATATTTCTTTTAATTACCACCAACATCTTGGGCTTTGGATCAGATTTTTTAAAGCCATTTTGTGGCCGGGTGCGGTGGCTCACGCCTGTAATCCTAGCACTTTGGGAGGCTGAGGCGGGTGGATTGTTTGAGCTCAGGAGTTCGAGACCAGCCTGAGCAAAAGCGAGACCCCGTCTCTACTAAAAATAGAAAGAAATTAATCGGACAACTAAAAATACATAGAAAAAATTAGCCGGGCATGGGGGAGGCTGAGGCAGTAGGATCGCTTGAGCCCAGGAGTTTGAGGTTGCTGTGAGCAAGGCTGACACCATGGCACTCTAGCCCAGGCAACATAGTGAGACTCTGTCTCAAAAAAAAAAAAAAAAAACCATTTTGTCCCTCAGCTACTCATTTGTGTCTTGCTTTTTCCTCAGGTAACCTGCAAATCCTGATGCCTACTGTACTGGGCCATGCCCTCAAGAAGCATCAGTCAGGGCAGTGACAAAGTAGAAGATAGGATATGGTGGGGCAGTATGTGGCTACCAGCTGAATGACAGGCCTAGACAGCAGCAGAAGTCTCTGGACTTCTGGGTTTTGAGTATTTTCCTAAAGAAGCTGGCCTTGGAGGAAGGACATTTTGCACAGAGGGAGAAGACACAGTCAAGGGTCACAGGAAAGTGTAGGATATGAATAGGCTTGTCTGGCTAGACAGGGCTCAGGAAACTGAGCTCTAGAGGGTGGGGCAGTGGAGCCCACACTGTGGAAGGTTCTGAAAGGTGAAGAGATGGTTTAATTTCCTATAGGTCATGAAGAGCACCTGAAAACTGAGTAGGAGAGTGACAAACCCAACAGGGAATACTTTAGAAAATTCATTAGATGGAATGGGGCAGGAAAAGATAATCTCATCTTACAGAATGAAGTAGGTTCCAGAGAGGGTAGGGCAGCTGCTTAATGCCACAAGCAAATAATTCCTTGAATCCCACCCCCTCTCTCATCCTCCCCACCTTGGGACTGTATAGGCTTCTGTTGATTCATTCAACTAAACTTTATCCAGCACCTAAATACCAGATATTTTGCAAGACATTAGTGCAGCACATCGTTTTTGCCTACACAGCCTGATAAAAAAAATGCGATGCAAACTGGGGCAACAGAATACTATGAAAGTACAAAAGATGAGTACCGAACACCTAGACCAACTTACATCAGTAAAGGTATTCTAGCTGAGTCCTAAAAGGACATAAAAGGAGATAAGCTATTAATAAAAGGAGAGGGAATGACTGTGGCAGAGGGAACTCAGCATATATACAGGCCTGAAGGAGAAAGTAGCAATGCAAGAACTGGAAAACATTTAGTATGCCTGGTGTGTAAAATATGAGCAGGGGAAGCATTTAAGATACCACTATAGAGGTAAGCAGGGGTGAGAACATGAATAACTGTAAGATTAAGTATGTTGACAGGAAGCCATTGAAGGATGTTTGAATGACAGGGTCAGAGGTATGTTTTTGAAAGAATGGGCTACAGTGGAAACAATGGATTGTATGACAAGAGTATGGAGTTAGGAGGAACTGTTGAAATGAGTCCTCATGAGTAATATGGGTAGCCTGAATTAAGGATGTGGAGATATAGAGATAAGTGAATTTGAGAGACTATAAAGCTAGGACTTGGTGACCAGATATATTTGAAGTAAGAGAGACAGAATACAGGTATCTTTGGACAACTGAGTCAACTGTGATATTGAGAACAGGAGGATCAGTACAGAGTGAAACAGGCTCATTCAGGTTGGATATAATGAGTTTTGGGGAGCTTGGGGATTATGAAGTGATGTCTAGTCGACAGCTGAATAAATGGGCCCAGAAGGCCAGGAGAAAGATCTGGGCTAATGTCACAGAATGGGGAGTCTTTAGCATAGGTTGCCTTTGAAGCCACAAGAATGGATGAAATTATCCAGGAAGGATGTATAAAGTGGGAGAGCTCTGAACAATAAGAAGTAAATGTCTAGAAGGGGAAGAGAAAAAAAG